GTGAGTGTGATGAAGGTGATGAGTGTGATGAAGGTGATGAGTGTGAGTGAGTGTGAGTGAGTGTGATGAAGGTGATGAGTGTGATGAAGGTGATGAGTGTGATGAAGGTGATGAGTGTGAGTGAGTGTGAGTGAGTGTGATGAAGGTGATGAGTGTGATGAAGGTGATGAGTGTGAGTGAGTGTGAGTGAGTGTGATGAAGGTGATGAGTGTGATGAAGGTGATGAGTGTGATGAAGGTGATGAGTGTGAGTGAGTGTGAGTGAGTGTGATGAAGGTGATGAGTGTGAGTGAGTGTGATGAAGGTGATGAGTGTGAGTGAGTGTGATGAAGGTGATGAGTGTGATGAAGGTGATGAGGGTGAGTGAGTGTGATGAAGGTGATGAGTGTGAGTGAGTGTGATGAAGGTGATGAGTGTGATGAAGGTGATGAGTGTGAGTGAGTGTGAGTGAGTGTGATGAAGGTGATGAAGGTGACGGGGGTCCTTCACTCTGATCAGCTGTTTATTACAGCACCTGAAACCCAGTGGATCAGGTACTACCCCTCCACCTGAAGGAGAACCCAGTGGAAATGTCAGAACATTAAACAGAGTATGTGAAGGTTTAAACACTTCATGTGCAGATATTTAAACTGTTTATTCGTTGAGATCCAACAATTTAACCGTTTTCACAAATACAGCCGTGTTCGTACATTTCACCTCTGTGGTTAAGGTGCGATTCATTTTAGTGTGTTCATCGTAAGTTCAGTATACAGTATAGACTGCTAATGAATAAATAAAGCTTCCCACTGGGTTAGGGCCACAAAATCAGTTCAGGTTGGACAGAACAGCCGTGTAGTTTCTATGGGCTGCTGTCAGGACGCCAGACTTCCTGGAGACAGCGAGCAGATTTAAGCTCAATCATTAATGAGCAAAAAAATTTACTGTCTTCAGTAAATTTAATAGCAGTAATGTTGTTTTTCTTCTGGCGGTGGCAGGTGTACTTTCCACCTTTGATCCGAGTGTCACCATAAAAGATAATCTTATCACAGATAAAAGCCCAACAATAAAAGTAAATAAATAACGAATAATAAAACATGCGTTTCATTGATCCTCCCTGCAGCGCACAAACAGAACCAGCTGGGTGGCCGTTAATGTGGTGGGGGACAGGCGTGTTGGACAGGGGTGTTGGGGGACAGGCGTGTTGGACAGGCGTGTTTGGGGACAGGCGGTGGTGGGGGACAGGCTTGGTCGGGGACAGGCGTGGTGGGGGACAGGCGTGGTTGGGGACAGGTGTGGTTGGGGGACAGGCATGTTGGACAGGCGTGGTCGGGGGACAGGCGTGGTTGGGGGACAGGCATGTTGGACAGGCGTGGTTGGGGACAGGCGTGGTCGGGGACAGGCGTGGTTGGGGGACAGGCATGTTGGACAGCGTGGTTGGGGGACAGGCGTGGTCGGGGACAGCGTGGTTGGGGGACAGGCATGTTGGACAGGCGTGGTTGGGGGACAGGCGTGGTTGGGGGACAGGCATGTTGGACAGGCGTGGTTGGGGGACAGGCATGTTGGACAGGCGTGGTTGGGGGACAGGCGTGTTTGGGGACAGGTGTGGTTGGGGGACAGGCATGTTGGACAGGCGTGGTTGGGGGACAGGCGTGTTTGGGGACAGGGTGGTTGGGGACAGGCATGTTGGACAGGCGTGGTCGGGGACAGGTGTGTTGGGGAACAGGCTTGTTTGGGGACAGGTGTGGTTGGGGGACAGGCATGTTGGACAGGCGTGGTCGGGGACAGGTGTGGTTGGGGAACAGGCTGTTTGGGGACAGGTGTGGTTGGGGACAGGCATGTTGGACAGGCGTGGTCGGGGACAGGTGTGGTTGGGGAACAGGCTTGTTTGGGGACAGGTGTGGTTGGGGGACAGGCATGTTGGACAGGCGTGGTTGGGGGACAGGCGTGGTTGGTGGACAGGCATGTTGGACAGGCGTGGTTGGGGGACAGGGATGAAGGAGAGACAGCCCTCTGGTCACTATGATGATGATGATGTTTGTTTTCAGAAGCGTCTGTGTTTGGAGGCGGAGCTCCGGTCGGACGAGTGTCCAATGGAAACATCCCACAGTGTCCCTGTGTCCGATCATCAACCAGAGCAACAGGTGAGGGTCCCGGTCCCGATGTCGGTCCTTTCAGACCTCGACACAGTCGCTCCGAGTTTCAGGTGTGTGGGTGTAAAGCTGTTGCCTTGGTAACCTGTTAACGTGTGTTGGTGCAGGTTGCTGCGGTCCGACCCAGAGCGGCTCTGCTCTGCTGTCCCAGGTGTCTGGCAGGAGAGCCGGTGAGTGGGGGGGGGGTGACCACGGCAACTACCTGCTGTAGTAATGTTGAGCGTCATGTAGACCCTGACCCAGCCTGACCTCATCCTCCTGTTCTTCCTGCAGGGTCACATCAACCACATCATGGGCCTGTGATCCAGCACCCCCCACAGGAGGAGGACGGGGGGGAGGGGCCCCCGGCAGCTTCTCATTTCCATCCAATGAAGTCCAATCAGGTGCTTGCGTGTCCGATCATTACATCCGTCAGCGTCTCGATTCACTCCCAACGTTTGTGCTTCCCGACCTTTCAGCCGCGCCTCACGGCCTTCCTCAGCTGTTTGTACAGTTGCCATGGAGATGGTTTAGTTGCCATCACATGACCTCAACATGGACTTCGTTGGTGCGTTAAAGGACCCCGCGACGTCTGAGCTTTCTTCTTCAGCTGAAGCTTAAATCACCGGCCACTATATACTGATCTCCCAGCAACCCGTTCACCGCGTCAATGTTAGCTCCGCCCCTCACAACTTCCTACCTGCCGTCTGATTGGTTCACACCCCGTCCCACCTGAAGGCAGCGGTGCAGTCAGTTTAATAACAGAACTACTAATCAGTGACTCAGCTGTGACCTCGTGAGGCGTTCACTTGGGCTGGGAAATATAACAGTGATATTTATCGCAATCTAATTTTTTTCAGTAACAAGTTTTTAATAAAAGGTTTGATTCATTTGAATCACGAACGAATCAGCACTTAATTTTTCTACTAAGAAATGAATTTTGTTGAAAAGGGACTGAAAAAGATTTGAGTGTATTTGTTGTGGACGTTCTGCCTCGGATCTGTGGATCTACCGTCTGTTGGGAGCAGGAAGAAAAGTTTAAACCACGTTAACGTTCGCTGCCTTTAAACTGAAGGATCCCACGTTGATCCTGTATTTATTGATAAATGTGAAGTTTTTTATTGTGATTTCCTTTCTGGCCTACGCTCTTTAACAGCAGATGGCTCCATCGGCGCTCGCCACGCTTGTCGGGTTCCTGAATGTTTCCTCCCCTAAAAACTCTAAAGGGCTTTTATGATGAAAGGAATGAAAAGGGAAATAAATTCGTCTTCCGGTTTGTAGTTTTATATTTTTATGAGGCAGATTTTATATTTGAAGCAGTTTTTAATTAATCTGACTGGATGTAAACTTCTTAAGAATCTATTTTTGATGACATCATTTCCTGCTTTGGTGCTGGCCAATCAGAGCGCAGCATTTGTACGCAGACTGATTTCAAAATAAAAGCTTTGACTGATGAACTTTGTGTTTGAAACTTTATTGAGCTTCTTCAGTCGGAACAAAAGTCAGAAGGTGAAATCAAATTAAAGAGGAACTCCTGAAGCCCCGCCCTCCTCAGCTGTCAATCACAGCCAGGTGAGGTCTGGCTCTCTTGGCTGTCGGAGCATCACCTGTTCAGGTAAAGCAGAAGAAAGAACACCTGGAATCAGAGAGACAGCACGTGTTGGTCACAGCGTTAAAGACAGCGTGTAGCGAGAACACGGGAACCTACAGCGCTCAGATGCAGGCTCCGCCTCCAGCTGGCAGGACCAATCCCTGCGGTTCTTCATGGTGGAAATGATGCCGCTGGCCGTCTTCCTGGTTTCTGTCAACAAACAGAGGTGTGAACTTACCTGCTCAGGTGTGTCTGTGGTCAGGGTGACCGAGTCAGGTGTCGGGAGTTCAGGGCGAGTTCAGGGCCGACAAAACATAGCGAAACAGGTGGTGCCCCGAACCCAGGTAACTGAACCGACACCCGACTCCCCAACCGGACCCGATCACCAGGTTACACCTGAGCAGGTCCCGTCGTGGCCTCAGGCTGCTCGGACAGCAGACGTCATACACAGCTGTAGTACTTCAGGTAGTACTCAGTATTTACCTGCATGTAGTACGACAGATCGACAGGTGGAGGAAACTGCTTCTTTAGCGTCTCCGTCTGACAGACCGAATAGCGACCCTCTGAGGACCCGGATCAGGAGAACAACGGGACACACGCTCTAAACTCTTTCAGTAATCTCAGACTCTGATTAAGTGAACAGTCCTCAGATCCAGGAGCAGAGCTTCTGTTGGAAAGCAGCGTGGTTGTCAGTCTGGGTCCTTGCTCTTTGACCACGGGGCCTTGAGGGGCCCGAGGTGTTGGGAAAGGATACAGGTTGGTGATGTCGTGGGGCCCTCTGAGCTCCAGAGGCTGGGGGGGGGGGACACAGGGACAGTTATTGATGGTTACAGGTGAGCTGCTGATACCTGATGGGCGGACTGATCACAGACCTGTTCCGCTGCGCTGGACAGGATCACGTTCTGAAAGACAAACACAGAGACTTCAGGCTCCGCCCCCAACATCACCACAGCTACAGGAAGTCTGCTGGGACAAAAAGGACCAACCTTCCCTTTACAGGTCTCCATCAGAGACACGGCGTTAGCGATGGTGTAGCGCCGCATCGTGGCGTCTCTGATGGCCGCAGAGTACGAGACCTCAAACGCCACGCCCCTGTCTATCGCCTGAACACACACACACACAGGAGAGGCTAATGTACCACAGTCACGCACTCGAACACGTCGTACGTACTCGTAGGATGACGGCTCTCACCCCGTTAACCGGCGCCCTCTTGAAGAAGAAGGGAAGCTTCTCCGTCACCGAGACGCAGATGATGTCAGCGTCATACACCATACAGGCAGTCTGCACGCACAGTACACACAGAGTACAAACACAATACACTGTAAGAAGTTTTCAGGTCCTTCAGTAGAAGTATCTAAAACAAATACTCTGTTTAAGTCCTGCATTTAAAATGTACTTATTATCAGTAAAAGTACACATACGTGTATTTATAATATACTGGATTATTGTTTATTTAGTGTGTAAAATGTGTAGCTTGGATACATGTATGTAGTATGAAGTAGTATAATGTGGCAGTACTCAAGTAAAGAAACAGTATCTGAAGCTTGTACTTGAGTAAATGTGATGTTTGGTGTGAACTCACGTGGAAGAGTTTCTCTGTGGTCGGCTGGACGGCGAGGAGGTCGAAGGCCTGAAGCTCCGGAGTGTTCCTCTGAACGCACACGCAGAAAGACAGAGAGAGACAGAGACACACAGAGAGACAGAGACATGCAGAGAGACAGACACACAGAGACACGCAGAGAGACAGAGACAGAGATACGCAGAGAGACAGAGAGAGAGAGACAGGGGACACACAGAGAGACAGAGACACGCAGAGAGACAGACACACAGAGAGAGACACGCAGAGAGACAGAGAGAGAGACACACAGAGACAGAGATACGCAGAGAGACAGAGATACGCAGAGAGAGACAGGGGACACACAGACAGTCAGCAGAAAATGTATTTTAACATGTCTGTTCACGTGTACTTTGTATGTTACACACCCTTGTGTTACTGTGTCTCTCTCTGTGTGTCTGTCTCTCTCTGTTACTGTCTCTCTGTGTCTCTCTCTCTGTGTTACTGTGTCTCTCTCTGTCTCTGTGTCTCTCTTTGTGTCTCTGTGTCTCTCTCTCCCTCTCTCTGTGTCTGTGTGTGTCTCTGCCTCTCTCTGTGTTACTGTGTCTCTCTGTGTTTCTCTGTGTTGCTGTGTCTCTCTGTGTGTCTCTCTCTCTGTTACTGTCTCTCTGTGTCTCTCTCTCTGTGTTATTGTGTGTCTCTCTCTCTGTGTTACTGTGTCTCTCTGTGTCTCTCTCTGTGTTAGTGTCTCTCTGTGTCTCTCTCTGTGTTACTGTGTCTCTCTGTGTGTCTCTCTCTCTGTTACTGTCTCTCTGTGTTATTGTGTGTCTCTCTCTCTGTGTTACTGTGTCTCTCTGTGTCTCTCTCTCTGCGTTATTGTGTGTCTCTCTCTGTTTTGCTGTGTCTCTCTGTGTGTCTCTCTCTCTGTGATACTGTGTCTCTCTGTGTCTCTCTCTCTGCGTTATTGTGTGTCTCTCTCTGTTTTGCTGTGTCTCTCTGTGTGTCTCTCTCTCTGTGATACTGTGTCTCTCTGTGTCTCTCTCTCTGTGCGTCTCTCTGTGCGTGTTTATGGAGAGAATAATCTGATTGGACATCAATAAACTGAGACTTACAAAGTGACTGGGGTCTGACATCACAACGGTCAGCCTGTTGAGCACTCTGATTGGTCGGGAGCGACCCTGTCAGGACAGACAGATGTTAACACAACAACAAGACTAACAGCCCCTCCCCCCCTCCCCTCATCTACCTGTACGACAGGAAGCTGATGGATCAGCTCGTTGATCGGCGTCGGGGCGGGAACCTCCTGCAGACAGGAAGTCAACAGAGTTACACAATAAAAGCATCGATTATCATAGGTTCATATGTAGCTTTATTGTCACACATGCACAAGTACACAGTGAAATTTGTTTCTATTGGAGCAAGCCTCCGGGCCGCAGCTATATTCAGCGCCGCCACTCGCTTTCCAGAAAAGAATTAATGCAGACAGCAACATAGTATCCATGACTTAACAACATACAATACATAATAATACACAAGACAACACACATTACATGCGGTCACATGGTGGGATTTTTTGAGGTGACGTGAGGAAGAGAAATAAAGAGGGCAGTTTCAAGGCAGTCATTTCGAGGGGGTGGGGGGAGGGTGTATGGTGTGAGTAAGATAATGAGTCAGTGTTTGTGAAGTAT